ACCACAAAGTTGCAATAAAATGTTCCCTTGAACCACATGCAACTGGCAAAACTAAATAATATCATACAAGACATGGACATGTATAGTCACTACAGATGTACATTGCGTGTACTAGACAAACTGCCAAAAACAGATCAGTCAATATTTACATGTAAATATTTTCATTCTTGGCTGATGGGCATTTCTTTTGATTCTTTATCAGTTTTTCAGATTGAATAATTAAAAGCTTTTTGTTGCTGAGTGTTCAGAGTGAAGAAAACTGAAAATGTCACTCAAATAAAAATTAAATCAATAATTATGATATTACCTTTGGTAGTCTTGACATCGCAGGAAGCCTTTAGTCTTGAGCACTGAAAGTAAAGTAAAATAAAACTCAAAATCAAACAGTCTAACCAGGAAGATAGTCAAGAATAATAAATTTTAATTAATTATTTTCAGTCTTGAACAATTATGCTACAGACATCAAAAACTTACACGTAGCAAGTCTTGTTACAAGGGCCCTTTGACATCTTGAATGGTCGAGACATACAACAACACAGGAGCTGACACTGAACCTTTAAAAATGTGAAAGATCAACGGGTGGATATCAGTGGCTGAATGAAAAATGTTCTTGTAAGTATCAACAAAATAAGTGCACATATATAATACAATGTTAAAATGCCCAAGTCTTTTCCATTTCATGAACATATTAAGTCACTTGGTAAATATAACTGAACATTACCAAATTTTTGGTACTTAAGCAATAGAGCACTTTTTCTGTGTTTACATAGCCTCATCTAAACACGAGGAGGGTTGGGAGAATTCAAGACGGTTAAGGAAACCCGAGACTACGTCTCGGGTTTGCATAACTTTCGAGAATTCTCCCAGCCCCTGAGTGTTTAGATGAGGCTATGTAAACACAGAAAAAGTGCTCTATTGCTTTTATAAAATAATTCTCAAAAGTACGTGCAAATCTAAAATGTCACAACCGTGTTTACATACTCTTATCTAAACATAGCTATCGACCAATAAGAGCTGCGTAGTAGCTCAGTTATTTTATAGATATATATAGTTAACAAATAGATTCCATGTTGCCGTGTGCCTGTTCAGTAATGGATCACAGATGATGTCAAAATGTGGTAAGAACAAAAAAGTGGCACATGAGCATATAGGTAGGTGCATCACTGATGTCCTCACCACATTTGAGGAAAATAAAACAAAGATAGGCCAGTTAAACTGTCTGTTATTTTTATTGTGAATTCTATTTTGTACTTTCCAATAGGACTTCTAGTATTATTTGATCAATTTAGGAAACATGATCCAGCGAACTATTGGATTTTTCTTTAATTCCCAGTACATGTAAATAAGAATTACTGGACGAGGTAGACTAGAAGAGACTGGAAAATAGGAGGATTACACTAAAATATTTTGGCTATGTTTACTTAATTTTTGATCTCTGAGTTAATTTTTATTTCAACTGCAAGTGATTCGTTTTCTTTGGGTTAGCCACATGCACATGTAACTTTTTTCTCAATTTCTCCCTAGTCTACACATATAGACTGACTACATGCACAACAGCTAAAAATGATACATGTATATGTAAAATTTACAAGTCTCTCTTGCCATTGTATCTGAAAAAGAGTTTAAAATTATGATACATCTAATGTTCGCTCCAATAACTTGGGAAATTCTACAATAAAGTTGCATATTCGCAGACAAAACACAGGCCCAGCAAAAAGTAGTTTTCGCCACAGAGGGTCTGTTCTCTTGAATCCATGTATAGTAAATCAGAGGCAAAACGGTAAAATACCGCCCTAATGGCATGCTTCAACTAAAAGACACACATTAAAACAATTCATTGCTGCATAAATTACAAAGCTGTGGTGATGCATGAAATACAAACATATTGATTTAAGAACTGTATAACACAATGCGTATACTATTTGGTGGCTCAGAACTTCAATAGTGAATAATTTGTTCCAAGTTTCCGTCAACACTGACATCACAAAAACAACTAACCACTGCACTACTTATAATCTCTTCAAACTGAATCTATTAAGCTATTAAACAATGAACCATTATAACTGAAGAAGCAGGCCTAGGGATGCCTGATCAAATTCAATTATTGTCAATATTTGCCATCAGTAAAAATACTCAAGAGCAAAGTAGATAGCGACTTTCCTAACGTAAATACAAACCGGTAGAGGGCGGCAGGCATCTGGTTAAGAAAAGCACATTCAATAGTAACGGCGGCGCTTTATTAATCGATCGAATGTTTTAATAGCGTCACGTTCAAAACTCACCATAGGAATGTGGGCAAAATTATACAACTATTGATATGAAACGTCTCTAGCGATCAAAAAATCCAGTCATTTTTAGCTCACATTTATAAAAATTTTCACGGAAAATATGCTTAATCATTATGACTTGTCTACAAAGATTGATAAGGACCTTTCATGTTCGCCTGAAGGCTACAAACAAAACCAAAGATCAACAACACTTGGAACGCTTACCTGATTGATCGACAGACGAGGTATGAACTGAATTCACAGCCTGAGAAACGTTAATCACCATTGTGTTGATGAGCGGGCTGCATGATAACAAGCATGGTAAAAACACGAAATCATCCCATGATTGCAGGATATTAGTAAAAGCCAAATTACTCGAGTAAAGTCTGTTCTGTACGTTGAAGAAGCTCACTTCCTGCTTGGAGGGACTTTCCCAGAACTCCCTAGTCTCCTTCGCAGCCGTTATTAGGGTCGTCACGCAACGCTCCTCCCCACTAACGGTTAGTGGGGAGGAGCGTTGCGTGACGACCCTAATAACGGCTGCGAAGGAGACTAAGAACTCCCAGGACAGCTTTCGGTTTCCAAATATGGATCCTCCTCGGTGTCACATGACAGTAATTACTGACCCAGAGCTGGACTGTTGAATGTAGGACCGTGGACATGTAATAGCAATGTTACGATGTTGCCATTTCGGAATAAAATCTATCTAAGACCGTTATCTCAAGGAATGGATACTTGATCATCATACCTTTTTATAATTTCTCTAAAATTTTGACTCAAATTCAAATTTACTGAGAAACAAACAGTCTCGTTACGGGCTCAAACGGTTACTTTTTTTTCAATAAGATGGGGGACTGGGTGCAGTGAATTGTAAACAATTTGAAGCAGACCTCACCAACAGCCTCACCTAAGCGCTTGCTCGCTCATCTGTGTAAGTGTTAGACGATAATTAGCACATTATTAATCACCTGCCTATTTCAATGAGTAAAATTTTAAGTACAATTGCACTGTCTTCTATTTTTCAATTTGGCCGAGAAATTTTTCTGCACCACGAGGTGTAGAAATAAACGCTGCGCAGCAACTTCATCTTTCCGACGCTCTCAATCAAAGTATTCCGATGAAGGCAGAAACTTACTTAATAGTGATTCAGCGTGATACGCAATGGAATTTTTTTTAGTAAATCGCTCACCAAATCGGTTATCCCGCAAGATGCCTCGTCCCGCGAAATATCCCAGGAAACCGTTCATTCGCCCGCAGTCAGTGTTCATTCTCTCCTGTTTTTGTTGATTAAATCAATAATTAACAATTATTCACGGAAGTGGAGGTAAATATCCATCACTTTCACCGACACTGAGGTGAATAATTGTTTTAGTATATGCCACACAAGCTGAATAATTAGCGGACCAAAACGTTATTTTACGTGTGACAAGCGGTCGGAAATTTTAAAATCTCTCGCGCCGGCTGCTCGGAGGTGAATAGTACTTGCTAATCACCTCCGAGTTAACCAATCAGAGTGCGCGAAAAGCACTATTCACTTGTGTGGTATATACTAAGGATAATTAGACCATACTCGTAGTTTACTTGAAACTCTGAGAAGAAGTATTCGTTCTTTCTACATTGTTTTGTAGTTATTATCAAGTACAGTTTGAAGAGATAGAAGATCAGTTGTCCTGAACTGCTTCAACACCGTTCACTAACAGGATAATATTGAGATTTGTGTGCGTAATAATTAAAAACACGGACTGACGTAAAATGAGCAAAAATATGCTAACATACTTTGTCTTTATATTCGCGCCATAAAGAAGCAACTCTGTGAATTAACGAGTTTTAAACGCGCGCGAAGGGTTTTTTTCCTTTAAACACTGTTTTAATTTGGTAATTAATTTTTCTATGCAAACATAAAGGGGGAGATTATAGGTTTCAATAAGTTAAAGTTTTACGTACATCAAAATAGTCAAACTTGTGAGACAATATCAGATTGTGCAGAATGTAATGTATANATTTTTCTATGCAAACATAAAGGGGGAGATTATAGGTTTCAATAAGTTAAAGTTTTACGTACATCAAAATAGTCAAACTTGTGAGACAATATCAGATTGTGCAGAATGTAATGTATAGCTCTGATGCAGTAATCATAACACAGTTCCTATATAACCCCATGCCATTCACTCCTGGTTTGTATTGACCTTGCTAATCAGCCAGAGATTTTGATGAGACATAATCTTAGCGGTGTGTATGTTTGATGTGTGTATTTTCATTCACAGTCCAAGAATAACTCACAATTAATTACCGTTTGTTAAGACAGCTCTTTAATTTTACTGTAGTGTTTTACGTCGAGTTTTGCTCATTTTAATTTAAGTAGCGAACGTGGAAATTTTACTCTTCACGAAAACGTTTGCAACTTGATACTTTTGTTTTCCTCGCAAAGGTACGTAACCTGAAACTCTTGTTTTCTCGAAAACACACGGAAGATGTACTTGTATTCTTTTCACAGCTGGAGATAAATGAGAAAATGTCGGATGAAGAAATGAAAGAGGAACCATTTGCTTTATTTACATTTGGGTTGTAAAACGCAAATTTTCTTTTGACCGATGAACAAGAACTAATCTAATCATCAAATTGTCACGGAACAGCACGTTCTGTTGCCACCTTTGGTTCTAACAATAAAACCACTTATATTTAAAATACACACTGATATCGATTAATACAACTGAGAAGCGTTTCAACG